CTCCACCCTCCCTCCCTTATCACCTAATCCCCTTCCCCTAGTCCACTGAAAGAGGGAGTTCTCCTCTGCCACCTGATCCTAGCTTATCAAGTCTCATCAGGACTGCCTGGATCCTCTTCCTCTGTGGCCTGGCAAGCCACATCACCAGGGAGAAGTGATCAAAGCAGGCAACCAGTTCATGTCAGAGACAGGCCCTGCTCCCCTAAGCCTGAGCTGCCTATAGGCTACAACTGAGCCTCTCCATGCATGGTCCTTGGTTGGTGCATCAGTCTCTGCAGGACCCTCTGGGCTCAGATTTTTTAGTTTTGTTGGTCTCCTTGTGTAGCTCTTGTGCCTTCTGGATCCTTCTACCCCCACCCCCCTTCTTCCACAAGATTCCCTGTGCTCTGCCCAAAGAATGGCTATAAGTCTCAGCATCTGCTTTGATCCACTGCTGGGGGAAGTCTTTCAGAGGACCGCTGTGTTAGGCTCCCATCCTGTTCCCTCTCTTCTACCACCTCTGGTGTCTATACTGTTTGCCATTCTGAATGAGATTTAAGCATCCTCCCTAGAGTCCTCCTTGATTTTAGCTTCTTTAGGTCTGTAGATTTTAGTACGGTTATACATATTATATAGCTAATATCTACTTGTGAATATATACCAGAATATTTTATAATTAACAACAGTGTTTTGCTTACAATTTTATTTTTGTAGTAAGAAGGATCTTGCTTTGCATCCTCAGTTGTCCTCAAACCCTTAATCCTTCTGCTTTCATCTCTCTGAAAAATTTAAAAGTTATTATATATATATATATAGGGGTATTTTTCCTACATGACTGTGTCATATTTAACTGCTGAGCCATCTCTGTAGTCTTTGCTTCCACCTCCTATGTGCTGGAATTACAGACCTCTGCCACAAGCATTCTATATATATATATGTGTGTGTGTTTGTGTGTAGACATATATACATATAGGGAGAGAGAGAGGGAGAGAGACAGGGTTTCTCTGTGTAGCTTTGGCTGTCATGGAAATCACTTTGTAGACCAGGCTGGTCTCAGACTCACAAGAGATCTACCTGCCTCTGTCACCTGGGTGCTGGGATTAAAGGTGTGCTCCACCATACCTGGCTCAGGAGATACATATTTAATGGAGTTACTGCATCAGTAAATTGCCTCAACTTTCTAGCTCCATTTGTGCATCATCTCAGATGGTCTGCCATCCTGACTCCAGTCTCCACCTCCCTCCAACTCCTCTCTGCCAAGCTATTTGTGGTACCCTGCCCCAACCCATCAGCACCCACTGCTCCTGGTGTCATTTGTTGAACCTGTCCTCACCGTCTTCCCCCAATGGTTCCTGATGCTGAGTCTCACACAGCCGCAAAACTCTCTGCTGCCTTCTATCATGTTCTGTCTATCTCCAACTATTTACTGCTTCCTCAGAATCCTGCTGGTTTTTCATGAGATCTGATCAAAATTTGTGAGTATGTTTAATATTTTGCTTGGTTTTTAGTTGTTATCTTGCCAATTTTATTTATGCATAAATTCAGATATTTATTTATATATATTTTGTGAAAAAAAATTCCTGGAAAGAAGCTGTGTGCACAAAGGCTAACGGACTGACTAAAACATGAATGATGTGGGAAGGTTCAAATGTTGTTTCAGAATCCAGTTGCTCTTTATCTTGAACAATCGACAGCTTATCAAATAAACATTCCCTGGCTACCTCTCTGTCATACCTAACCTCCTGATAAGCAGATTAAACCCTTCGCAATGTATTCTTCCCACCCTCCTCTCCACCCATCAAAGGGCTGAGAATACCATCAGATAATGTCTGAGGTTCATCTGCCTGACTGCAACCCGCTTCTCCGCTGTCCCCACCAGTGTGTTTTCAGATTGCTTTGACTTGCGTCTTTCTTTGTTCTATTATTATAAAACCGTCTCTGGTTTGGAGAACACAGAAGTGGAATGACCCAAATCTCTGCTTTCCCAGCCAACCTGCTCACACTTGGCTGCAGGATATCTACCTTTTCTCTCCTTTGAGGTGAGAGCTGTGGGGTATTGTTGTGCCCGTTTGTTGACAATTTCAATTTTTGTCTCATTGGTTTTTTCCCCTCTCAAATTCAACTGCTCGCATGTAGAAGACTAAAAATTTTCAAATATTCAAAAATCAATGATTTTTATAACCAACACCAGAGTGCCTGACACATAGCTGCTAAAAGCTTTTTCATCAGCTATTTATTCATCGCTCACTCCTTTTACCTACGCACTGATGCCTGGTTAACTTTTAATGACTCTGTCAAGTGAGTGAAGTTTTTCTTTAGGCCCATAGCCAGAAGCTGTTCATGCCATGGTGCCTGGCACACAGGCTGGGCTTGCTTGTATAGAGTTTGGGGAGCCAAATAATGCTCTCTGGGGTGGGCGCCTGCTAATCCCTGTACCAACCGTCGGGCTGCACACTGGGCATTCAGAAACAAGGATAACTCTGCCTTCAAGAAGCATGCTACTTACAGGACTCAAATGAGTTAGTGACAGAAAAGGGGAAAGTAGAAAATGTGTGATTTTCACTTGTAATGCAGACTAATCAGTGATGGTATGTTAAAACTGTCTGACTTCTTGGCATTTTTGTGTGTTATGGGTTTGTTGTTATAGCTAGGTAAAACAGATTTGGGTATCTATCTACCTATCTATCTATCTATCTATCTATCTATCTATCTATCTATCTATCTATCTATTTATGATTGGATTGCCTTGTCCAATATCAAGGAAAGAACATTTTATGATTCCTCATGAGTGACAAATACAAGCCCTCTGGAACCTTAGACTCTTTGGATTTAAAGTTGTATCATTGAAATAATCATATAGTGGAAGCAAAGGAAAAGCACACAGAAAGCATTTCCGGTCCAAGCTGACTGTTGTCAAAGTAAGAATAACTCTTCAGGGTCTGGAGTATCGGCAGGCAGGTGCGGCTTTCTTCTTCCCCACCACACACTGGTAGCTTTTTCAAACAAAACAACCAAAGATAACAAAAACCTATTTGACTATACACTTTTGAACCTGTGTTTACTATCCTTGATTGTTCAGAGACAATGATTACCTTTGATGTGACATTCCAGGATACTGTTTTGTAATAATTCTTTATTAACTCTTCCTCTGTCTATTCATGTGTATTTTAACTCTTAGTTGTGCAAGGAACATTTGAAGGTCAAAGAGGTATCTTTGTGGCTGAATTCTAGGAGTGCTTAGCAGGAAGCCACCTGCAGAAGGGTGTTGGGTCACTGTGAACAGGGAATGCACTTAAATCCATCCTTAACTGTTACCTGAGAGTGAAAGCGGTATTTCCAAGAAGGCAAGAGGGCTGGATAAACAAAGTCCCCCGCATAAAGCAGTAAGGGCAGCAGCTGGGATTCCAACCATGGCTGTCTTTCCACGCTCTCGCCTTTCTCACACAATAGGATCCTGCTTTCTAACTTGTCAGTGATGGTCATCACTCGTGTCATTCTTCCACGGGATGAGTAGGATGAGCAACCACATGGCCTAGTGTGGTCCTCACCTTGCTACACTGCTTACAGCTAATTGACTTTGAACAAGACATTTGAGTTTTCTAAGCTCCAGGCTCCTTTCCTGTAACTAGGAGTCCTGGATACTGACTTCAGCATATAACTGAAGTCATGCAACCTGTAAAACATGTATGAAGTACTGAGAAGTCTATTAGTATGAGGGTTAACCTTCATTGTCAATTTGATTTAGAATCACCATCGAAAAACCTCTGGCTAGATCTATGAGGATGTTTTTAGAAAGCTTTAACTGAAGTTGAAAGGCCCACCTTTTGATGAGCAACACCATTCCCTGGACCAGGGTCTTGAATTGAATAAAAATGAGACAATGGACCAAGCACCAGCATTCGATGCTCTCTGCTTTCTGACTAGCTCATGGTCCTGCTGCCATGACTTCCAACATGAGCCTGTGCGTCCCAACATGAGCCTGGAGAAACCTTCCTTTCCGAAGCTGCTCCCGTCAAGTGTTCTGTCACAGCAGTAAGTCACAGGTACACTTGGCAAACCTTAGTTTTATTCTACCATGTTGAGATCTGTTTCCCTGTTAGATTAGTGGAAAGTCATCTGAGGAGTGTGCTATACTATATCATGAAGGAAAGAAAAGCAAGTCCAAGCTGGGCATTTATGTATAAAAGTAAACTTAATTTTATTTTGCAAAAATGAACAAGTATATATTTCATATCTGGCTTCTCTTCAAATGTACACTTTTTTTTTAAACAGACATGCAGGCAGATTTTTCATGCCAAAATATCTTTCTTTTTAGCTTCCCTTGGAATATGTCCCTCCTAAGACAAAAATGGCCATATTGTCCAAAACCTGTTTATTTTTTTACCTGCCAGAATTGCTAACATTAATATTTATTGGGAGGAAAGAAAGGCTGCAAGGCTTGGCCTTTGCCTTTTATGTTTGACTCAGTACTATAATTAAAATCTTGCATTTGCTTTGAAGATAAACATTTTGAGATAAATTTAATAAATCCTGTTTCTGCTGTGCAAAGGAGTTGCTATATCAAAGCTTCTAACTGGAACTGTCGACTTCCTGCTGGTAGACTATTACTTCCAGCCTATTTATTAGCTTTTCTTCCTGTAGCCCAGGACAGGCAGCTTTCCTTCCACTTAGCAAAGGGACAGGAAAATGACCAGTTTTCCTCTCTTGTCTCCAGCATCATACAAGGCAGAGCAGAATCAAAAGTCACAATATCTGAATTCCCCTTGATTATATTTTTTATTAAACTTGAATTATTCTCCAGTATAATATTTGTTTATCTAAAATAATCTTCATTTAAAGGTATGATAAAGCCAGACTTCAGGGGCATTTGAAATAATGCCTGAACCATACCTGAAAGAAAATAATTGTTTCTGGCTTATTCCTTTGCATTTGAAAGGAAAGAATTTTAGATAAAATAAAGAAAATAAAAGTTTGGAAGAGAAGAAGAAACTAATTTTCAGTATTAGCTATTTGCCAGAAAATAAGACTTTAAAGGTTCATCTATTTTATTCACACCTTTTAATAGATTGTAAACAAGTACAGGGTACTTTTGACAGTAGCCTATGAAGAGTATTTTTTGTAACATATCCTTTAGTGTAGAACAGTATGAATAGAGTATTGTAAGTATGACTCTGTCCGGTCTCTTACTTGCCTGTTGTCCAGAAAAGTTTTATTTGAAAGCATCCCGATTTCAAAAGAAATCTAAAGCCATAGAGTTGCGCTGAGCGAATGTGGGACGGGGGGTAAAGTCATTGCATTTTCTATTGTCTGATGCACAATGCTGCATGTACAAAAGTAACTGGAAGACACCTATCTCATTCTCCAGGCAGGATGTGAGAGTGCATAGAAAGAGTGCTGGTCAGGTCAGAGGTGAAAGACAGCACAGTCACCTAAGTCAGTAAGTTGTAAGCAACATGAATACATTATGCCATTTCGCAGAATTCGGACGAGATCAGTTAGAAACTGAACTGTCATAGCCACATATCTTAGAGAAAAACTCCCAAGCCAGGCGAACGTGGATGGGGATGAAGACATAGGCAGTGTACACCACCATAGCAACAATGGTTAGTAAGATGGTATTGAACATAGACTGTTCCCAAGGCTCCATGACAGCACAGCAGCTGATGATTTGGTATTGATAGTAGAGCCAGGCAAAATACTCCTTCACACGCTTGAAATCCATGGTTCTTCCTCAAGCTGTGGAAGGTCTACCTGTTGAAGACAATAACATAACAGAAGCAAAATAAACTAAGAAAGGGAATACACAACCTTCTGGTAATTAACAGTGAATACCTACAGTTAATATTCTCACAACCTGAACATGTGATCATTTTCAGGTAAAGGGTATACATGTCACTAGTCCAAATACAAACCTTGGGTGCTAAGCCTTTAATAGGTTTTCTGGGGCTTTAAAAATACGGTATGAGCCTGGTGTGGTAGTGCATGCCTTTAATCCCAGGACTTGGGAGGCAGGGGTGGGCATTCTCTGTGAGTTTGAGGCCACCCTGGTCTACAAAGAGAATTCCCGGTCAACCAAGGCTACAAAGAAAAACCCTGTCTCATCAACAGCAACAAAAATAATGTCTGTACAGGTGCTCTTCAACTTAGAGTGGAGATACATCCCCAAAAGCACAGTACAAGTTCAAATATTGTCAAGTAAAACACACACACACACAGTTAATGTAACTAACCTATTGGACATCAAAGCTTAGCCGCACAGTACATGGTAGAGTACCATTCATCTGCCTCTGTGATCACAAGGCTAACTGCAAGCTGTGGCTCATTGCTGTTGCCCACCATCACCAAAGCATCGCATGATATAGTAAACACCAGGAAAGGATGAAAATTCAAAACGAGAAGTATGGTTTCTACTGGTCATGTACCGCAATAAACAGCAAAATGTCACATTGGGACATTAGTCAGTTGGAGCCTGCAGATACACAACTGCATGTTTTGATGGTAGGGAAAAGAGCACGCTGAGTCTGTCCCATGATGGAGTGTGAGAAGCCCACGGATGGACTGACCTAGATTTCTGTGTCTTCATTCCCTTCTGATCGTATTGTAGACAGTTCTGTCTTGGTTTTGATCCCAGGTCTATGTTGAGTGTCATGAGGCCTTCCAGTGAATCACTGGGGTATGGTTTGGGGGACCTCCAAAACACATGAGAAATGCAGATGAGCCTCTTAACCTTTCCGTTATTTCCATTGTGTAAGGACACAGCCTTCAAGACATGCACTGTTTTGGATGCAGAGACAGACCCTCACAAGCCACCCAACTGATAGCACCTTGGTCTTGGACTTCTCAATCACAGAACTGTGAACTTTTGAAATTATTTATGTGAGTTACTCTTAAGTACCTTGTAATAATAGCCCAATTAAACCAAGGACTACTCTTGCCAAAATTCAACATCCATTCACGATAAAATCCTGGATAGACTAGAGATATGTGGGTTATATCTCAACATAAAAAAGGCAACTGAGAAGCCTGTAGCCAACATCATCCTAAATAAAGAAAACTCAAAGTATTTCCACAAAAATCAAGAACAAGACAGAATGGCCATTTTCTCTCTTCCTGTTCAATATAGTAATTGAAGTCCTCACTAGAGCAGTAAGACAAATGAAGGACATGTAGAGAATGCAGGCAGAAAAGGAAGATGTCAAAGTAGCTTTGTTTGCAGATGGTTTGACAGCATACATAGAAGACCCTAGTGACTACCAGGAAACTGCTACTGCTGATAAACATAATCAGCAAAGTAGCAGGACGTAAAATGAACACACAGAGTCAGTAGCCTTCACAGGTACAAATGACAACCACATCAAGAAAGAACTCAAGGAAACAGGATGGTTTACAATAACCTCCGCAACCACAAACCACAACTCAAACTGTGTGTGTAAGAAAGATATAAAAGGGAGGACTCTTGCTAAAATGCTCAATTCCTATCCAGAAAGGCAAAGAGGCTGGACATTAGAAGAAGGAGAAAAGAGGGAACAAGTCAGGAGCCTGCCACAGAGGACCTCTGAAAAAAGCTCTGCCCTGCAGACTATCAATGTAGATGCTGAGATTTATGGGCAACCTTTGGGCAGAGTGCAGGGAATCTTAGGAAAGAAGTGGAAAACAGTAAGATCTGGAGAGGACAGGAACTCCACAAGGAGAGCAACAGAACCAAAAAATCTGAACACAGGGGTCCTTCCTGAGACTGATATTCCAACCAAGGACTATGCATAGAGATAACCCAAGACCCCTGCACAGATGTAACTCATGGCAGTTCAGTATCCAAGTGGGTTCCATTGTAATAGGAACAGGGACTGTCTCTGACATGAACTGATTGGCCTGCTCTTTAATTACCTCCCCCTGAGGGGGAAGCAGTGTTACCAAGCCACAGAAGAAGACAATGCAGCCACTCCTGATGAGACCTAATTGACTAGGATCAGAAGGAAGGAAAAGAAGTCCTCCCCTATCAGTGGACTTGGGGAGGGGCATGCATGCAGAGGGTGGAGGAAGGGAGGGATTGGGATGGGAGGAGGGAGAGAACCACAGGGGGGATACAAAGTGAATAAAGTGTAATTAATAAAGAAAAAAATGTTAATCAAAAAAAGATATAAAATAAATTTATCATGGAAATAAAAAAAACTTGTGCAATGAAAATATCGAGACAGCGAAAGAAAGAAAGAAAGAAAGAAAGAAAGAAAGAAAGAAAGAAAGAA